ATGGCAGCAGGAGCTTACACGGCACAGCCAGTCTCCTAGGACCTCCTAGGCGCCGGCTGCGCTGCTCATTAGTGTCAGTTGCCCCGTGTTCAGCAAAGCAAATGCAGGGAAGTCCTTTGCAGGCGGCTAGAACTGGCCGCCCACAAAGGACCTCTCCAGACTTGTTTTGATGGGCTCTCAAACTAGTGTCAGTTGCCCCGTGTTCAGCAAAGCAAGCCCGGGGAGGTCCTTTGTGGGTGGCCAATCCTAGCTGCTTGTGCCCGGCGCTGCGGCTGAAGTAACCCCCCAAAGCCCCTGTTGCCACCAGAATATCTGCTGCTGCCTCCTCCTCCTCCAGCAGCGCTGCCGGATTTGGCGCCCAATGCTGCGGCTGAGGTGAAGCCGCCAAAGCTCCCGTCAGCTCCTGTGCCGCTCAAACACTATACTTTTCTGCTCACACTGGAAAAAAATTAGAGGGAACATTGGTCCCCACCCACAGGTTGAGAACCACTGATGTATAGGAATGGATTTCCAAAGCAGCTTCCTTCTAACCAGATGCCTTTCTCAGTTGATATGGCCAATGGGTTATGAAGGCCAATACCTTGATAGGGCATGAATGTGGAAGAAGGTGGTGGAAAAGACAGGTAGTCCTCACCTTCGAATCACAATTGAGCCCAAAATTTATGTTGCAAAGTGAAATTTTTGTTAAGTGAATTTTGCCCCATTTTATAACTTTTCTTGCCGCATTTATTAAGTAAGTCACTGCAGTTGTTAAATTAGTAACATGCTTGTTAAATGAATATGGTGTCACCATTGACTTTGCTTCTCAGAAGGTTGCAAAATGGGATCACATGACCCTGGGACACTGCAATTGTCATAAATATGAGTCAGTTGCCAAGCATCTGAATTTTGATCATGCGACCACCAGTCATACAGTATATAGAAAAATGGTCATAAATTAATTTATTCAGTGCTGTTGTAACTTCAAACGGTCACTAATGGTTATAAGTAGAGGACAACCTATACTTCATAACCCAAAATTTTGGCCACAGCAGGACAGCCTTCACAGAAAAGACAGCAGAAGTTCATTGTATTTCTATGCACTTCACTGTATAATTGAAACAGAGCTTTGGATAGCACAACTTTCTAATTCAAGTATGTTTGTTTCAGATTGTTTGTTGATAGCCTAGTAATTTAATGTAAATGACAGCAGTTTAAATAAACACTCAGATGTTTTGAATTCTCTTAGGTGAGATTTAAGAGGGGAAGAAGGAACTGTTTGCACCATTACAGTTTTTTTTCCTAAGACATTTAAACATTTAAACAAATTATAATTTCCCTTTTCAAAATAGTATGAGTATTAGAAAAATAGTTTTCATAAGCACTGGGGGTTTTGTTTCTATTTGAACTTACCCTTTTCTACTAAAAATCAAAACAAAAAAGTTTGCTACTGTACCTTTAGGTTGCAATTTTATAACAAATTCTTGGCAGTGGCAAATAAACATAGCTAGGATGGTGATATACAACGCTTTTGATTCAATCGTGCCATTTCTAAAGAATTTTGTGTGAAGAAGCTATGTTTGGCAAAAGTATTTTTCCCTTCCTTTGAACACTGCGCTGGTGCTTTGTTTATAACTTTTGTCTAGGAAAACAAGGCATTGTTGAATTCTTTAGGCACAATACCCGTGCTGATTATGTTAGGCTGCTCACAAAAGTCCTCTATAAGTTTTTTTAAAATCTTCTTGAGGTTGTGATCGTATGTCAACATGAATTCACCAGCACTTTCTATATTCCCAGGGACAGCCATGGGGAATCTGAATGTGAGGATATCAAACCAGGTAGTAAATACCAGATGGTACAACTAAGATGAGGAAAACTTAGGGAGAAATCCATGAGTGCTGCGTTATGGATTATTTCAGAAGCTAGTTTTAGATTTTTTGGATATGGGGAATGTGTCACGGAGGAAAGGTGTGGAGTCTGGACCATCATCTTGGCTGATTCATCTCCTCAACTTATTGAATGTTGATAAATTGAATGTGAACAGGGATGTCTTCATGTGCCACTATTCACATATGTGGCCCAGCACAAAAATTTCAGGTATCCTGAGTGTGGTTCTGATCAAATGCCATGTATAAAATTGTCAATATACCTGCTGTGTTTTAAGTGTATTAAGATATTCCTGTTGAATCTCTACATAGTTAAGTGCATGAGAATGCAAAAAATAAGAGATCAGGTCTATTCTGCAGTTTGGAAGCAGCTGAGTTTTTTATTTTATTTATTTTGTCAAGCATCTATTAATATATAAGAATAAACATGATTTTGAAATGGATACAAACAAAAAGGAACATTAGGACAGGTTGGTGCGCTTACTCCTTTATTATTTCTTTATTTATTTCCTTATTCCTTTAACACTACAGCAAACTTGCATTTTGTCTGTGCTCGGTGCAAATGGATTCTTTCCAAAGCGTCAAAGGTTTCCTAAGCAGGAGCAAGGCTCTGCTGCCAGCTGTGCTCTGATGCTGAAACGTGAAAGAGCCCAGAGACATCCTGTGCCAGTGCTGAAGAGAGGGGAACATAGACAAAAGTGTCAAGGCTGGAAATTTCTAAAGCTTGCATTCACAGACGAGAAAGCAGCCTAGGCAAACTTAGATAAGAAGCTTCCTGGAAAGCAAAACGAAGGGTGTGTGTGTGTGTGTGTGCGCGGGCGCACGTCTGAAACTTTGGGAGGTTGGCTAGGCTTCCTAACCATTTAGGTCTCTGAGCGGCGATGGATAAGTCAAATTGGCGATAACGCGATTGGAAACTCGGACAATCGGAGCCTTCAGCGGCTCTGCGCTTTCCCCAGGATATTTGTTAGTCTGTCTGGGGCTCATTGCCATGCAAAGCGGCTGACATCAGAGCACCTTTTGTTGCTTAAAAGCTTTCTCCCGGAGAGAGAGAGAGAGCCCGGACTAGGAGTCATGTGGAGTTGGGAGAGTCCATGTCGGGAAAAGGGCAGAGAACCTGAGTTACTTCACCGACAAGTTGAAACCTAACGCCCAGCCGCTTCCCAGATTCAGCTGGCAGATCCTGGCTACGCTTGTTTCGTCCAGGCTTCTTTTGCGCTCGCCGAAAGAAGGGAAGGGACCCCCGGTGGTGGTTTTCTCCTGAACGCTGGAGAAGAGTTTTCACTCGACACCCCCCCCCTCCACAGAAAGAAGGTGGTTCGCGCCACGCTCTGCTCTGCCATCCTGTTGCTTGGCCACGACAAGTAGGCAAAGTTCGTACGGGACATGGAAGCGCTCTGGCGCGCCCAGAAGAGCTGAGCCCGAGTCCGGCGGCGTTTCCCAAAGGGTCCCGCGGCCTCCCATCTGCCCTTGCCCCTCGCTGAGGGAGAGCCAGGCAAGAGGCGCGGCGGCATGCTGGACAGGCTGGCCAGAAAGATACCGTCTGGGGAGGCTGGAGCAGCGGCCAGGCGCGAGGTTTGAGGCTGCGGGGCGCGCCAGGCTCCCCTCTGCGGGGCTCGCGTGTTGAGCCGCCCTGGCTGAGAGGCAGCAGGCGATGGAGGAGGAAGAGGAGCAAGCCTCGGCTGTCGAGTCCCAGGAGGGCGCCAGCAGCAGCAGCAGCGTCCCCGAAAGTTTCTCCAGGCTTTGGACGGATGTCATGGGGATCTTGGTGAGCGGCTGCTCTACGGAGACGGGAAAGGTGACCGGGATGGTGCGCTGGGGCGGGGGGGGGAGGGTGCGCTTGGGCATCCTCTTTCGAAAGGGGACTTTTGGGAACAAAATGTGCCAGTCCCAAGAGTAGCCTTGCTGGTGGAGGGGGGGTTGTTCTGGATCGGGCGCATTGAGATGGATGGGGGGAGGGAATCGTTTGACCAGAAGCGGCACCTCTTGCTTTGCACGCCGGTGCTGCTTCTTGGCCATCCTAAATCCCGCTTGGCTTGCGCAACCCGCCCAGGAAGGTGTCGGGCGGGATAGGAAGTCCTGGGGGTTTTGTTTTGTTTTATTTTGGGTTCACGAATTTCTCCCTTTTCTTGTGCTGCAGCGGAGGGGACAGTTTTAGGTGGGTTTCCAATGTATGGGCTGAATACGCTCACGTTTCAACTTTGCGCCAGCGTTAAAAGGAAAAGTGTGTGTTGGGATGGGGGGGGGCGTTCATAGAGTGATTCATCGGGTCTTCGTAAAGCTCTGGATTACGGAGTACGAGGGAAGCTCAACATGTTGCTTTCATGTTGCCGATCTCTTCCTCCCTCCCCTGAGGTTCAATAATTCAATAGCTGCGGTGGATCTGAAATGTTCAGCTACACTATGCATGCCCTGAATTTAATTAGTTTAAGCATTATAGCCACACCAGTTGCAAAGTAGGGGGAGAGCTGACTGATGAAATACTTAACTCTTCAACTTCTAACCACTGAATGGCAAGCTAAGATCACAGAATGGGGTTGTTGACTTTTGAACACAAATGATACATTTTTGTTCTAAAGCACAGTCAGGTGTTCTTTTCTATGCAATGCCCATTGTTTATTTTTGTGACCTCCTAATGATCAGAAGCAACCAACCCCCAGTTTATTTATTTCAAGATTAACTCAATGCAACCATCAGGAGTCAAGTGATGTGAGAGCATCTGATGTATACGTTTTGAAATAAATTGTTCTAAAGGACCCCAAGCCATTTCTTTTCTTGACCTTTTCTTTTTCTATATTTCTTTGGGGAAATTAAGAGTGAGAAAAAATCAGCAAATTTTAGTATATTAGACTCTGGCAATGTATTTTTTCTTTTAAAATATGTTGTTTGATATGTTTAAATATGCCTATGGCAGGGAAGACAGCAAGAGATGTAATCGCCTATAGGCTTATCACTTAAACTATGTGATGCTTGTCTAGAAATATCAATTAGTTGCACAGTTATTAATAACTTTAAAAGTTAATTTCAAAAAGCAATATGTATTAATTGTGTTTTTCTCTCCCCTATGCTGAGTGTCAGTTTAATAGAACTTTTGTTAACAGGCATATTTCCTTATCATTTGATACTAGGAAAAGTAGAAAGTGAAAGAAGGAAAGCTTTTAATATTAACATCCTTTGGACATTAATTAATATAATGAGCTATGTGCTCTAGATTGGACTTTGCTTACTCCCCCTCCCTTTTTAAAAAAATTGGAGAGAGTTGCTAAGGGCTTCCTTCCAATATCTTTTTGGCACATTTCAATAATGTGCAGGGTGAGTTAAACTGGGTGAGACAAACTTTAAATTAGGTATCGGAAGAAGGTTAATGGATCAAAAGTCTGCCAACTTTGTAGTACAGCTGCTGCAGTGAGATTGCGACCTATAGCTGGGAATTCAGATTGTAGAATCAATGGTGTGGATAGTACTAGGGTCATAATGAAGGAATAACTGAGTATGCAGGCTGAAATGTTTTAAACTTGAGAAACAAATGGATGCAGTAGTCTTTATGATCCACATCTGTAAAAGCTTCTAGGCTGACAAAAAGAATGCAACAGCAGTCACTCAGTTGCTATCCCCACTGATGTTACAGGTGATTACATCTCTGCCTTCAAAGATATGGGAATTGGCGAATAACCATGCAGGGTGGATTACTTCAGAGCCATGATGGCAAACCTATGGCCCACATGCCAGAAGTGGCACACAAAGCTATCTCTTCAGGCATGCGAGCCATCACCCGTTGCTCTTCTAGGTTCTGGTGCGACGGCCAGCTGGTGTTCAGGCATGTGGGAGCACTAGAAAGCGGACAAGCACCATCCATTGCACATGCGTGTGCCAGGACGATGATCTTCCAGTTTCTGGTGCACACATGCACACTGACCAGCTGGTCTTCACACGCACATGCATGCCAGAAACAAAAAGATCAGGTGGCCAGTGCGCATGCACACACTGGAAACTGGAATATCATCTTCCCAGCATGCGCACTGGGTGGCTGTGTTTCCAGCATACGCATGCTCATGCTCCCATTTTGGCACTTGGTGCCGAAAAAGTTTGTCAACACTGCCCCAGGGGATAATATGGACTAGCTTGTAGTTGGAAGTGCACACTTTTTCTCAGATTGAGGACTCTGCCAGGTGTTGTATGGCATGGCAAGTCCTATCCTTCAAAATTGGGAGAACCAATGTTCAATTTTGGGAGGAGGCATTAAGGCAGGAATGTCAAACTCAAGGCCCATTGGCTAGATCTGGCCTTCGGGGTGCTTAAATCTGACCTGGGGGCCAGCCTGGAAGGACTGGCCTGGAAGGACTGGCCCGCCATGCCTCTGACAATGAAAATGGGCCACAGAGGGCGAATTCCGCCCTGTGCCCCTTTATGTCCGGCAAAGTCCTGGAGGAGGTGTCCATCCTGTCTCCCCCAACTTCCCCCCGCCAAAGCCTGTCCGCAGAGAACAACAGTGCTGATCCGGCCCTCGAAGAAATTCAGTTTGACTCTCCTGCATTAAGAGATTAAATGAGCCTTCAGCTCTACAAGGTTTAAGGCAATCATTTTGCCACCCAAAGACCCCAAACCCCTGAAAAAGCGAATGAAAAGGATGTTGCTCAGGGTGCTTGTGTGTCACATGTATCCCTGCAGTCATGACATCTAGTCTTATGTACCATTAATATCTAGAAACCAAAATTTTCCTTGTCTTCATATAAACAAGTCAATTGTTGGTGGTAGAATGTTGGCATTATTTGAGCAAATCAGTGTTCCAGACATCAAAAATAATCATTTATTTCATAGGTAGACTGGAACTTTGAAAAACAAAGATAGTTTTCAATAGACTTGTATATATTTAATTATGTTTGAAAAACTTCAGAAACAGCCAAAGCTGGGATAGTGTTAGCATTAAATTGTTGTACTCTTATTGATACTGTTATTTTCTACTTCAGGAATTTTGAGACTGTGTAAATTTATATGTAGATTCTAATTCATATACTACATGAATATGAAAAGGGTTTTTTATTTTGAAGATAAAATATTTGAAAATAAAATGTTGGGTTTTTTTTCCAATGACAATTTGGGCTGTTCAGCTTCCTTGCAAGACAGAAGCCAAAGGAAACTGCACATATACTCTGGAGTAATGGAATGAGAATCTTAATTGTATAGCTTGTGATATTAGATAATCAGATTCTTGAAGCCATGTGTTAAAAAATTATCTTATCTCTACAGGAAATCACTGCCAGTAAACAAAAATGGGTTGGGAATATTTCAGAAATCAGAGTTAGAGGAAAAATAAGGTTATACTATTGTTTTTTTCGGAAATGATATCATACTCTCACTCCAATCTGAATAATGTGTTCCTGCCTTGAAGTATTTATTATCAGAATAATTCACTGTCCATATACTTTATTTACTAGTTTCCTTGGAATTTCATAAGAGTAAATTTGTCTCGTGACTTGTTTCACAAGCTTTTTTTATTTAAATAAAATCCTACTAAACTGGATTGTTAGTGGGTCAGAATCTGCCACAACTGGCTTTTCTTCTTTCTAATAATTCTTTTTATTGTGTAATGATAATAATTGGTCAATTATTCCATTGTGCTGATGAAAGGAGAACCATATCCAACTCAGACCATAGTTATGATGTGCACTTATCAGAGCTTGATTGGAAAATTTGCTCTGATGCCACTCCTACCACAACTAAATAATACTTCAGGAAATAATTGTATTTGCTGAACTGAAAATGACTATCCTGCCATGTTACTTGTTCTTTCTAATTAACCTCAGGAAACATTTCTACACTATTCACTGCACTACAATCTTAGCATGTAAGAGTGGCTTTCCCAGTTCTTAATTAACGCAACAGTATTCATTGGGTTCAAAACCCCTTTCTCCATAGTGTTACACTAATTACAGTTTGGAGTTATGTCTGTATATGTCCACATGAGTACAACATAAAGTAGGTAGGTACTTTGTTTTATAATACTGTAATTGTTTAGCACTATTGAAGAAAATTTTATGTTGTCCACAATCTCAGAAGTGTACATTTTAAAGAAGTATTTAGAAGAACACTATTATGTTAAATGAAGTATTCTAAATAATAAATAATTCAGCAAACCTATCAATTATATCTCATACTCATTGTACCAAAATGAGTACACATTCCATTCATTTACTTCAGTCTAATATTATAATTGAAAACCTTCACTTTTTTCAACATTTGCAATTATAAATGAAATGATACATTACAGAAAAAATATAGAAAATAATGTCTGATTTAATTAAAAATATTAAACATGTAATTTTTAAAAATGAACTATTATGTAATATAACATAATTCAATAAAATGTGGAGGTTCATATACTATTTTGAAACTTTTGGTTATTTGAAAGAAGTTTAGTAATTTTAGGAGGGAACAGTATATTTTATCTTTTTTATTATTTTCTTGGGGGGAAAAATCCCTTTTCATTAAAAACTGGAACAGGATCAAACCATATAGAAGTACTAGACAAAACAAAAATCGCTTTAGCTGTTAAATATTTATAAGCTTACCCAAAATTTATTATAAAAAGATATTTAAAATAAAATATTTAGATTGGAACATCTGGAAATACATAGTTTTAAAATAATCTGCAAATTTTATATTTTTCCAAATTTTATTTTAAAATTTACATTCTGTATTGGAGAATGAGGTGTTTGGATATATTATTTTTGTTGTGAATATATTAACTAATTAAAAGTATACATGTTG